TATTTTTCATTTTAAAGGTAACTAAAGAACCTACCGTAACGGAACAATTCTCAAACGATTCCTCGTAGTCGATAACCTTCACAGAAATTTAGGGGGCCCTCTTGATTTCTGATCTCGGTTATATTTTTGTTTTTTGCTAAGTGTGCACATACTTTTGAGAAAAAGGAAAACTTTTTCTTCAATAAAAGATTATGTTAGCAGCTACGATGTTTTTTCAGAGAAAGTGTTCGAAGGTTATAGCACACAAGGAATCCAATGGTAAAGGTCACAGGACACAGAAGGCAATGGTATCCCCAAAAAAAAAATGTTGGGTGTGCACATACTTTTGAAACACACTGTATAACGAAACTAAAAAAGAGAAGCTTTGCAGGTGAATTCTGAAAAAAATTATCAGATGATTAAGTATGCTGTGAATTTGTGGAATCTAATTCTTAGAATGGGCGGAGGTGGTGTAGTGGCAAGAGGCGCGCTATCTCACGCGATTAAAGTAGAACATTAGGCACGGTGATATTTTGTTACAGAAAAGGCTTCGTGCAGGACATAGATGCACTAGAGTGAAAAAAGCATTGTTCGATCTGGATCGAAGGCGAGCGTGGTTTTTTGAGCATCGCCTGCGGTAGTTATTTTATCGAAAGCTCACCAATCATTATAAGAACGAAGCCGAAGAGGAACGGATGAGCCGCAGCCGGTATACCGTTCCGACGGTCAATGATAACGACTACGAAGAACACCAAAAGTCCGGTTCCAGCTACCTGAAAACAGCCACTATTCACGTCTTGAATTTAAAGAAACGCCTTTGCAATTTATCTTCCGTATGCTTTATTTGATGCAATGACAAGTTTTCCCACCAGTGGTTCGGGGATCATACTCGGGCTGGATACACAGCCTACCATTACTCTAGCATCGTCAGCCGGTACTAGACTCGTTTTGAAGATAAGAAGCTCTGACTTGTACACTACAATCTTGATTTGGAAGTCGAGTGTGGTGCGCATTCCGAAATGGAAACGATGAACGAAAGAAGGCTAAGCGCATGGCAAAACTTATAAATTGTTTGATGTTTACGGTCGAGTTATTTCCTTCGATCAAAAGACCTACAATTCAAGTTTGTCAATTCTAGGCAACCTTTCCTGGATTTCGAGCCTTTTACTCACAAACGAGTTTCCTGCCTGGAGAAAGAAAACTTTGGTCCATAATATTGTGAACCTTGTCAACCTGCATCTTCCTCTACCTCATATCCGTGCATTTTCACTTTGAAACATTGATGTTTCAACAAGCCCATCATCTTGAATTCGAAATCATCCATAATATCTGAGCTTCAGTGAGAAAGATGCTCACTGTTCAATCTTCAATCCTTCAGTGAAGACATGTATCCACTTCCCTTTCAGATGAAGCTCCTTAGAATTATGCTTCATTTTGCTGTTTGAGCAGTCCAGCCGCATATTTTGTGAACTTTTGGAATCTAATCATTGGAATGGGCCGAGGTGGTGTAGTGGCAAGTGGCGTACTACCTCACACGCACGGTCACAGTGTCGAATCCCTATATGATGACCGCCCGGGCCAACGAAAGCTTCCATCCCTCTGGCTCACTTAATTCGTACCGGACTCGTCTGAGAGGATAAAAATACTGATTTGTACATCGGCTGGCCACCTCGTGGCCACATACCTATAACTGGCTTGCCTGGATGACTAGCAAACGCATTGAAACCGAGATTCTAGTTGTGAGTGAATGACGAGTGGGTGGCACGCCAAAAAATGGTTGGTTAGAACCTAAGATCTTCGTCCTTCCTACTTCCCCCTTTCCTTGCCAAGATAATTTGCATTTATGGTGATTTTCTGATGTATAGCGTTAGAGGAGCCAAAAAGGGACTTCTAAGTTGTAGAGTACAGGATAAATCTCATGATATGTATGTTGAGTGTAATCGCTTGAGGTTGCAGCGGCTTGTTCATCGTTGAAGCACCAGGTGATTGACTGAGGTATTCAAAGAGTTCACATCCGGAATGATTCAGAAACTGACCTGGTCGAAAAAGCAGGTGAGATTGCTGACATGAGCTGCGGGGAATGAGCAGAAACATGCTGCTGTCGCTTTAGGACCAACGATCAAACGATATGCCCCGGCGTATTTTACGAACTGATCTGAACTACTTCATGATGTACTTGAGAAAATCACGATCAGTAAACCAATCAACGATCGGTTAGTAGCGAACTACTTTCGATAAATTTCGAAAAAAAGTTGTTCAATGAAAAGTCTCAATCCCTTACCGTAATAGATGCCGTACGCACCAATAGCACCGAAGAATGCGCCAACAGTTTGAACCAAGCAATAGATTAAACAGTCCCTCAGACTGAGATGCCCGAGGGTGAACATCGTGAACGAAACCGCTGGATTGAAATGACCTCCTGAATGGGCTACTTTACGTTGGCAGATATCATTTTCCATCCACTATTCTACACTAGCTGTTTAGTTATGATCTTGGGAAGAGTTTGGCGAATGAGGGACATGGAAAACCTTTTCCTCAGCTATATAATCAACAGGGAAGAAGCTTTTTTGCTAGTTTGGCGTCGTCTGATGTAATGGCTCGGGGATAATTTCATGTTCTCAGTAATTGAGGAAGTCTCTGATATATGCACATATGTATGCAACGGAAAGAACGACCATTAATCCTCCAGACTACTACTTTTCTTCATCTGCGATAATCTCGGAACACTGCTGTATATCTTCCAGTCTAACTCCAGTTGTTCCTTTCGATTGAACGACAGGCCTTGACCGAAAATCTTTGTAACATTCCGATTGAGCTGAAGGGGTGATCCATGGAACAAGTCAATCCCCTTTATGAGAGTAGATATAGCCCCTCGATACAACCAGTGACACATACTCTTGCGTTAGTTATTTGAGTATAGAGGCAGCTTCATAGTCGATTCGGCCCCAAGGAGGAAATTAGAGCAGTCGTTCGTTTTCATATGCGAAAGGTATGAAGCTTGTAGAAAATAATCTGCCGAATGTCTCCCAGGTTGGTGCTCTATGGACAAAACTTAGTCTCGCTGGACTCGAAACCGTACTTGTGCTTGCCGGGCACCGTGCTTTATCCCTTACACTACCGAGGCCCCGCCCTCGCCTATTAGCAACCATAGCCATTTATCTGTTGCCGTAGGGTCGAAATCTGGTTTCAAGAGATTTTCATATGCCTGATCACTAAAAGAAAACAATACGCCGAAAAACATCTAGCCGAAAGCTTTTTCCCCATGAATCAAGAAATCTTCTACAATACTGGGAAAAGTGCATTCAAATTAGTCCAAGCTACATAGAAAGATGAGGTGCGCTTTAGTTTCCTTTCATTAGAATAAATACACTATTCCCCAATAATCATTTGAGTGTGAAATCCCCTCGTATATCCCTGATTGACTATGCCTGCTTTCTCAGAATTGCGCTATTCCTCAGTATAGTGTATAAGTTTGACGAAAGATGCCTGAAACGAATGAGAATGATTCCCATTCAACCTATCCCACCCATGACCTAGTCTTCTTGTTATGTGTGACCAGAGGTAGCGTAAAATCAGTGAAAAGGCGATTTCCATCAAGAAAGCATGAATGTCCACATTTCTCAAACAGGTGACTTGGATCGTTGCAGCTGCTCACGGTAGCTTTCCTTTGTAACCGTTTCGCTAGCTTTGAATATTTAACAAGAATGAGAATTGAGTCTACAATCAAAATTGGATAGCAGGCCGTATTTCCCATCATGGGGCTCACCATGATAGCGGAATCTCGGAAAATAGCCTGTATGGCTTGAGATGTTTTCAAGAGCGTAACTGCTACCCTTACTGATCACAGAGATCATTTGAGCCAAACTGATCGGAAACCCGGAAGCATGTTGTGTCAGGGATATTATCTTCTTGCACAATGCGGTCTAGCCGCTGAGGTGCGTGCACAAATTCTTTGCTGTCTCCGTGAAACAGTGGAGCGAAAGTAACTCATAGCCGTTCAATGAAGCGCCGCTCAGCGTCCTGACCTCAGGCTGCTCAGCGAACTGACTCAGCAAGTTGACCTGAGGCTCACCCTATTCAAACTGCAATCATCTCAGCTTGGGGTGATCGGTGGACCGCACAGGTTGACTGTCCCAAGCTTAGTTAGCCACTTCTGATTTCGTAGTCAACGTCTTTTGAACTTTCACTATAGATTGAAGTAGTGCTTGACTGAATGGTTACTATAACGGCTTTTGTCCTTTCAGGCTCCGAGGAAGGTGAAAGCACTAAACGTTAGCCTAATGAAGTATTGTTACAATCTCGGCCGCACAGCCTGAAAGTAGACTTCAAAACTGGGAAGAAACATGCCGAGATTCATAGACAATCGTACTTGAACTGATTTGTTTGTTAGTTCATTCAGGTAAAGGAGACATTAGAACAACCTACTGCTCCCATTGAAATTTCAGCAACTTGGTTATGGTTGCAAGCAAAGCACTGGTTTGGTCAGATGAAGACTCTTCCTTTGCGAAGCAGCATTAAATTGGAATTCATGCTTACAAATTTTTCAGAAAATTCGAATTTTTTTACAAGAATGCCAGAATATTAGGATGCACGGAAAGTAACTGCCGGAGGTTTCTGAAAGGCTGAATTATTTTAGAATGTTTTCTGAGTTCCCATAAAAATACTAGTGTATAAAAGCACACTAATCACTAGTGAGTGTCTTAGATATCCCGGAATTCCGTGATCACTGTCGGCTGAATACATCGAGACTCATCTTCGACCTATTTGTTTCGTGTTTGTCTTGATGAGTCGTAATGGGGTGCGTAGAGAATCATCTGGAATAGGCTTCGAAACCAAATACTTGGCAAAAGTTTCGATGGGTTTCATCAGCGGGGTGGCCGGGTTCGAGTTCGTAGAAAAAGTAGAAATTGAATGAGGGACGACAAATTGACAATTGTCGAGTTACATATGTTAGCAAGAGGAAGATGGAGCTGGATACATATGTTATGCTCACACCAGTAGGTTCTCATTTAGTACTTCCATAATATTCCCAAAACGTTTTATGAATCCGGACTTTAGCAATATTTTCAATAGATGCGCTATAACCAACCCAAAGCTGTCCTTACAATTGTATCTTGAAAAAGGTCAGCTGCCACAGGACTACGTACCGGAGGTTTTGCTGCATGCGTAGACGCAGAATACAATTGCAAGTCCCCATCCAACGTTGATTTGTATCCAAGTATTGAGTTTCTCGCCGGAAAGTATGAATTGCATGACGATACTCAGACCGATAAACTGAAAAAAGGAAAAGATTATTGAGAGTCAGACAGAACACATCATGTCAAACTTCAGTGTGCCCTCTTGCCCACATTTCACAGGGCTTTAATGTCGACCCTTTTCGACTGGACAAATCCGTTTTCTCCCTGGCTGCTCTGACACATTCCAAGTACTGCCACTTGCAGCTGAGAATTCAATTTGCGGAACATAGACAAGTTCCCTACATTTTCACTTGCAACATCATTTCCTGTAGAGCTTTTTGAAGAGCGCTCTCTAAGGCCAAAGCTCTAATATGCACTAGTTTGAGTAATTCCTAAGGGCAAAGGGGAAAATAGAGTCAAAGGCACAGCTCACGATGAATCTGGGGTATTATACGTATCTAATTTTAGCGGAATAAGTAGCGCAAAAGTGGGCAAAGAAAGCGCTTCTCGGCAGAACATAAGGCTTTAAAAAAACGACAGAAGCGGTACTCGGACGAGATTTCAATTGCAACAATAGCGTAAGGGGCTGGATATAGAAGTCGAAAGTGGCTGAGATTGCCTTCCACGAGGGGCATTCATGTTACTGACGGCAGAGCACCACACAGCATCAAAACTGTTTCTCAAAAAGAAAAAGGGACAATTCATAACAGGTTCCGTATAGATGNATGAATCTGGGGTATTATATCTAATTTTAGCGGAATAACTAGCGCAAAAGTGGGCAAAGAAAGCGCTTCTCGGCAGAACATAAGGCTTTGAAAAAACGACAGAAGCGGCGAAGAAGGGGTACTCGGACGAGATTTCAATTGCAGCAACAGCATAAGGGGCTGGTTATAGAAGTCAAAAATGGTTGAGATTGCCTTCCACGAGGGGCATTCATGGTACTGACGGCAGAGCACCTCACAGCACCAAAACTGTTTCTCAAAAAGAAAAAGGGACAGTTCATAACAGGTTCCGTATAGATGCGTCACCGTCTACAACAGTCTGGGCGTCTCTCTCAGATGCTCCTGGCGTCACTGTGAATGGTGCAGCCTTATCAAGACCATCATATCACGGCCACTTTTGGGTGTGTACGTCAAACAACTGGATTTTGGAGCCTCATCACCCNCACGAGGCCATAAGATCTTCTTCTACCACTTCGAATGACACATGGCAACTTCAGTGGGACATTTTCTCAAAGTCCTCCATTGTATTAAAAAAAGTGAGTTCGCAGCACTTATGAATGAAGAATGAACTCTTCAACAAGCTTATCAAACTATTAGAAACATAAGTTATTACCAACGGCTCCCAGTTGGTTCATATAGCTCGAAGAGGTTGAGGGGAGCAGCGGGGTGTGGGGGAAGGGAAATTCAATTTACAATTCAGTGCGCTAGGCCTATAGGACCAGAGAATGCGTGTTTTCAGAACTGCTAACAGGAGTTTTGTTTTTTTTGGCAAAATTTTCAAAATAGTTTTTGAAGACTGTCATAAATCTCTATAGTATTCATATTCTCAACAGTGCCGCCTTGGTCCACTTAAAGGGTGACTCTGAATGTGTTATATAATGCTCTAACTGAATCGTTGGAAGGCTATTCCGCTACCTGACAAGAAAAGCTCGTCTCCGCTTCATTTACTCCTCAAAGTCCGATGCCTCCAGCCTGGCAAAGTCCAAAACTCAAGTATCACCCTNTATCAATGGAAGAGATAGAACACGAATAAAGCTTTCACAACCTTATTCTACTCGTTTCGACTGAATTTCCCTGAAGAGGTTGTGGATTTGCCCTACTTTCTTTGGGATCGAACTTAGAGATTCTTGGATAACAGGGTGGGAACTGAATCATGATTCAGCCCCCATGCAAGTGGTCGAAATTTGGCCGGCAAGAAGCTCTGCTACAAACTGTTCCACCTCGACATAACAAATGGTAATGTAGTAATAATCACCCAGAAATAATAAACAGGCGAACTTGTTATAAATGAACCTCAAATCAATGAAATTATAGCACCTCTAGTTCAGGAATTCGATAATTATAACAGAAGGTCATGGATTTGCCCACTACCTCGGCATCGATCTTACAGATTCTTGAATAACACGAGGGAAATAAATCGGGATTCTGCTCCTATGCAAGTTGTCGAAATTCGGCCGGCAAGAAGCTGCGCTAGGAACTCAATCACCACGACATAGCAAATGGTAATGTAGTTAATAATAACCCAGAAATAGTCAACAGATGATCCCGTTACATATGGACCTTGACCAATGAAATCATATCATCTTCTAGTCTAGGAATTTGATAGGCATAACAGAAATCAATGCGCCCAATGATATGTGGTAAAGTGCTGAATGAAATCATAGCACCTCTAGTTCAGGAATTCGATAATTATAACAGAAGGTCATGGATTTGCCCACTACCTCGGGATCGATCTTACAGGTTCTTGAATAACACGAGGGAAATAAATTGGGATTCTGCTCCTATGCAAGTTGTCGAAATTCGGCCGGCAAGACGCTGCGCTAGGAACTCAATCACCACGACATAGCAAATGGTAATGTAGTTAATAATCACCCAGAAATAGTCAACAGATGATCCGGTTACATATGGACCTTGACCAATGAAATCATATCATCTTCTAGACTAGGAATTTGATAGGCATAACAGAAATCAATGCGCCCAATGATATGTGGTAAAGTGCTGCTGAACTTCGGGCAGTAGTATACATCATTGGTATATAGTAGAGGTGTGCCAATCAATCGAAAATGTTGGAATGTCGATCCGTTATAGTGGTGCGCAGTGGGTCACAGAATGGATCAATAAATTTGCGATTTTTTTCTACATCAAAATATGAACATAACGAAAAAGGATCCAAAGAAGATAGCCACTCAAGTGCAATATCGTACAGGTGATATGAATGAATTCTGTTCGATGATTGCGGTTCGGACAACAAGGAAGAAAATCTTGAAATCGAGAGTTTCTCGCAAAGATCCATTCGCGAGATCGCTCTTCGAAACATACGGCATCTTCGCGATTCTCATAATAAACGTAGAGATGTCAGGCGTAACCTAGGCAAACAGACAGAATGCTTCGCGTGAATATTAGATTCTTCTTTATAAAAAAAGGATAAGGATGAAGTTCTTGACGTTAATCGATCCCGTCTGAGGGATGCGCCTCCGCACTCAACTGCCATTCAGAACCATTGTGGCCTAATGAGTGCTATGTGGCCTATACAATGACCTGCGGTGGCCAGCCGATGAACGAGGCAGTGCCTTTATCCTCCCGGACGAGTCTGGTACCAATTAACTGGCCTAGGAGGGATGGAAGGCTTGGTCGGTCTAGGCGAATATCGATCCAGGATTCAAGCCCCTCACCGTGCGTGTGAGATAGTGCGCCGCTTGCCACTAGACCACCTCCGCCCCATTCTGCTTTATATCCGAATAAAATATAGATACATACACCAGCGCATGATGAGCTTCTTGTGACAGATACAGTGATGACTGACCACCAATTCAGCCCCGTGCAGGCTTTTGCTCTTCACCCTATTCTTTGATTAGGTATTCTTTACAATTATAATAGTTCAGAGCTCTATAGCAGTAGAGTAGCTTAGAAGGAGTAGGGTCATGCGGTCCCACTAGCACATCTGTATCAAACTCGGCACAGATGCCCACTTAGTCCTACCCGAATTCCATATTCCTGGTGATTATTAATCTGTAACAAATGCTGGGAGGACAAAACTCTGACTTGAACTTCGAGTGGCACTACACACATAACTTGAATACACAGCACAAACCCGTTGCTGCCCAAATCAGAGTTCTCTTTCTTCCCAGAAGTTTTGGTAACACGCTGTGTTAACCTGAGGCGCACCGATACGGATTCGATCTCTGGATCGTGGATCTAGCAATGCTCCACTTGGCATTACCCCACTCTCGCACTAATGAGACAAGTAAACGTAAATTTGTGTAGAAACTCATGAATATCATTACTAACTACGTTGTGAAACTAGTTGTAAGTTGTTTTCGAAATCCAATGAATTGTATTTCTGTCGGAGAACATTGAAAAGAACGATCGTTAAGATATTTGGTAAGAAGAGAAATATCAGCTGCAATGCTTTTGAGCGTGAGTAAATAGAAAGAAAGGAGAAAATAAATAAGTGGATAGATGATCTGAATCAGAAGTCGAATGAGACTTCGCACCAAAGCGAATGAAGGCGAGATGCCCGACGAGCTGCGCTGCCTGTTACACAGCTTCCTTTCGAGAGATTTACATTTGCACTCAAGCTATCAACAGTGAAAAACACTTTCAGCTTCCTCTTACTAACATTTATACTCTTGCTCCTGAACAATAAGATGGTCCCCTACTCCTTCCGTAGAAGGTCTACATGGTCACGTCGTTAAGTTCGGTCAAAGAAAAAAACTGAAGGAAGCCGAAGAAAACGAAGCAAATTAGGGGAGAGGAAGCGAATTCGGAATGAAGGCATATCGACGCCCGCCTGAAAAGCTCGGCACTAGGAAGTATTTAGAAGTTAATAGCATGGCTGAAAGCGTTAGTGAAAAGTCGTGCTTAGGACAGCCAACGAACGTCGCAGGTGCCACTCATCCTTCAAGCGCTATCATATTACAGGAAAAGGAAAAACTTCTCCACCTGGAGTTGTTCTAGTCCTAACCCTGCCTTCTCTCAAATTGAAAAGTAATGTGAAGGAAGAATGAAGAGGCAGGCTCGAAACTCGATGCTTGGAACTGAGGGCAACTATGATTTATTAATTCAATTTCAATTCCAGTAAACCATTAGGAATAGGGGATGCTTGGGTATAGTAATCCCTCCACTGGTGAACGAATAAGCACCTTATTCGCAATCAGTAGGACCCTAGAAGATTGGGTGCAGGAGCAGATTATGAACCCAATGAAAGGTAGTCACCAGTGTGGGATGTCATCTCGGCAAAGAATACTCCAAGTTCCAAAGTAAAGCCATCGCGATGTGATGCAACAAGGGCCGCACCCTTCCCCTGTGGGTTTTTACCGTAGGTTGATGTGATGTGAGTGCGCCCTTTCTGAGCAGCTGATTGAGCCACTGATTGACTATATTCCCTCTTCGATCGATTGAAAAAAAGCCTATTTCGCGTGTCTTCGTCAGATTCTTTGAGTTTCGTCCTCGGTGATTTACAACTGAGCGTTCTAGCACAGCTTTTTTACCTACATTGAGTTGTTGTGCCCGCTGAGGTAAGAAGTGCTCGGTCGCATATTCTCACTCGAAGCCTCCCTGAGCTGTGCTATCATTCAAAACCGAGCTTTTACGTGATATCAACGTTGCTCTCATCTTGGAGAATTTCTAAATATGCGTGGTTTTGGGTGAAATAAACTGAATGTAACTTTAGCTAAACAGTAAGTGCTTGACTGTGTTGGCTGGAACTATGGCAATTTGCGTTTATACGAATTTGACGTTTATCGCGATCATAGCCGATAAGGTGGAAAACTATGGCTTGAATCAGCCCAACATCTTTCAGATTCAGAACACCAATAACGACTACCTGGCAGGAGCAGCACTGAGAATTTCACCAATTCCGATGGAAATCCTGTTGGCAGTCCTACAAGGAGGTGAAATCAGAAGACGAAGGGAAATCGACTTTTATTATTGCCTTTCCCAGTAGGACGAGACTGATGTGAGTCTGTGTTTCCGAGAAGACGTGGCTTCCTGCGTAGAGAGTAGTTGAAATGGCAATTAGCAATGAAGTGGAAATGCATTCCACTTATATTTCTTGCACGTCTGCTGTAGACTCACTTATGAACTTCTGATGCCAAAATGTGCTGTTTCCGACTACTATGATTCCTCTCCATATCCCCTTCTTTCCAGACTCTTCCTCCGATTTAAAAACCTCATCTTGCTGTTCTCTTTTTTTGACCAAACAAGCAGCTGTTGAAGCTGAAATGGCCATTAATAAGAATGAAGGAAACAAATGTGATGGCGATCCTCGTGACGTGACTATTTCTCGAAATTACGTACAAGGTTTTTCCAAAAATAACGCACAAATTCTGTAAGCATGTGCTTCCTAAGAGGTTTCTTGATGACTTACGCTTTCCTCTTGACTTGAACTGTGCACCATGTACGTCTTAGTAGTAGTGGAGGAACAACTGCTGCTTCTCAGAACTCTTTTTAATGAACTGGCGTAATGGCGAATGAGAAGGAAGTCAAAACCCTTAAGGCGTTAATGCTCCACTGGAATAATAGCTGGCAAAGAAATTTTAGGCTGGCATTTCAGAGTAGAACACAGCCATCATAGCATTTTTGGGAGAACCCTGAGGAAGGCTATGAGGAAACTCATCCCTTCAGGGCGCTTTTCCCTTCCCTTCAGTCTTTACGCAAAGGTATTGCGTAAAGACTGAAGGGAAGGGAAAAAGGGAAGACTGAAGGGAGGACTTCTCAAAAAATATAGTTGATTTAGGTCTTCCGGAAGGTGGCCGACGAATGAAGCCCAAAGCGTCGCAATGAAAGCTTTTTTGGTGAGAAGATGGGAATGATGCTTATGCTGTAAAGGAACCGTATGTGTGCGAGGAGGTGGTGAATTATGTTGTTGGAAGAAGAAATGGATCCATACATCAATCCAAGTCGTTCCCCCGGGCCATAATTTTCGGCGGAGCTGTAATTCGATAAGAGGCAAATGGGTGTAAAAATTAGGCGAAATTGACCAGTATTCACGTAATTCGGCTATGGTTTGCGATCATTTAGAAAGAGCGTCGCAGGAAAACAACAAAGAATAGAACTAAAGCAGACGACATTGGACAGCAGCTGTACGAAACACTTCGACGATCATGTCAAGAGGAAGGTTTTGGAATTACTTCAAGAGTGTTTAATGAAATCGAATCCGACAGCGTTTGAAATCGAATTTATGAGACTTTCAAATGATGGCCCCTTAAGCCATGGATTTCTGATAGCTATTGGTGACCTTTTAAAGCATATACCTAATAGCTACTAGCAAAGAGAGATCGTACTAGCAAGGAACATCCTATAGTCAGGAAAGGGTTGGCCATAGACCAACTCTTTCAACAAATTAGTAAAACACTTGTTCAAAAAAAGATCCTTGTTAACTTGCTAGAAGTGACTATATGAACTCATGATGAAGGGAGCGGGAGCACACCGATGCTTGCAATCCTTCGGTTAGATATTCGCAAACGTTGTTTTCCTGGCTGGACATCGCCCGCTATGTGATGGGTGCATGGGCTAAGAGTTAGTGTGATAGTTGACATTTGTCTCTGATACACAAGGTGGATCCGTTCCTCTGAACGCCGTTGACAACTAAAGAGGAGGGATCCACTGGTTGTGGGCACAAGTCTGTTAGTGGAAAAGAAGCTCTTTAAATCCAATGAATAAGTCAATCGCTATTCAACCTAATTTTCAGAACTACAAACTTAAGATTGAGGAACGTTGAGACCCACACTTGACAGCATTTCTGTCGCACAGTCAGCCTTCCCATCAGTCAGCTTCCTTTCACAACCTCAGGTTTTTTAGGAACACCTTTTCGAGGAACCAACCACCCGGTAAGTAAATTCATCGAGTGAAGTTATCGAGTTGTGGAAATGGATTCAGTGAAAAATAGAGACCCAGGGTTTTCTCAATTTCGCGCAAAGATTTTCAAAAAGGGAACTGAACTATCCATCTGTTTCATTACAATCCATTCGCCTGTGTTCCCCACACACCCTGCGTTTCCTTCATCTTCCTTCGATTCCTGGCTTACATAGGCTCTCAATAACACAAAAAGGTAATTGGGCGGCCTCGAACTCCCACGTGCAAAAAGATTCAGTATTGGTCACCTACCACATCATTGATTCCTATTAATCGACGTTCCCTTTTCGAATGATGAATTTGTATCAAGATTAATGGGAAACCTTCTAATGGATAGGTCCTTCTGATTCCAGGTAGGTACTGCTGAATTGTTATAGGCACGGATTTCCCAAAGCAGCGCATCTGTGGCCGATAACGAATCGAATGGCCGCAGTTACTTAATTTCCAAGAAACCTTCAGCTGCAACATATCCGCCTCATCGAGCATCGCGGCACTCGCGAGTATGTTGGGCGTCCCCCGTCGTAGGCACTCGATAATGCCAGCGACAGGCGTAGAGCCCAACGATGACAAAAAGGGACATTGACAGCGATCTGACAGCTCAAAGCGCTTACACATCGCCATGAACTGCAAATTGGTCCATCCACGCTACGTCATTCTGGAAGGGATTTCAACACAAACTTTGAATTACTTTGGAACGATGAAGAAGATGAACGTCATTGCAAATCCCTGACTAATCATTGGGAGGTTCATTCTTGAACATGAATTAGTGCGTGGGGAATGGGCGTTTAAACCCTATTTCTTGTTCTACTGGCTAAACGAGGAAAGAGTTCCCATTTATTCTGGGAATATTCTCTTGGTGATGTCATGGAAGGGTTCGCAGTAGGGCAGTTTTATGAAGGTCAACTTTTGGAAAACGCATCCAGGAAGACCAGGCCCGCTTCAGGCAACAATTTCATGGCACATATCTTTATTCAAGCTTCTCCCTAGTCATTTGCTATATTGATCAATATGAAGGTAGAGAAGCTCAGCGCAAAGCCGCTCAATACTTCACGCCAAAAGTGTGGGGGCATGAATTGAGCTGATTAAAATCTGTTTTGGCATCATGCAGATGGAGTGAAGAAAGCTATCTTTCGTTAAATCTCACACAGGCCCTAAATGGAGCCATCCCTCATGCGAATGTAGTCAATCTTTAAAAAAATTAGAGACAAAGTGAGTTGCATGAATAGAATGATGGGAGGTACTAATAAAGGGAAGGATCTCTTTCAAAAATAGCCACTTCAAAAGCTACTGGCCAAGTTAAAGCGAGTTCTTCGTATAAATGGAAGGAGAGATGAATGCAAAGAGTCATCCACTGGAATTGCATCCTCCATATGAAATTCCGCCAGTTCGAATACTTTTTTTTCGAATAACATATAATCACGAAATATATAATCTTACAATAACGTATAATTAGCATTTAATGGCAATAATTGTGTAAAAATGAAACGATATCAGAGAGATCACATCCATTATCATGTCAAGAAATTTGAAAAAAATGGAACAGACCTTTCTCATAACCCTTATTAAAGGAAATTAAAGAGATTTCGGAGAAAGTTTTGAGAAATATCCAGCCCTTTCAGCACTTGGAAGTTATGATTTGCTGCTTGCTGCCCACTC